TGATTCAGTAGTGGTGCTGATGGAGGAAGAAAAAGGCGTAGCTCCGGTCTCTCCACGTTGCGGGCCGCGTGGAGGCTCAGTTGGTCTCGGGAATTCAGTGGATGTAGGCGATGGAGAATCGCTCGATGTGCTGCTCTCCGTATCCGTTGGGTTGGCGGGGTTGAGAACGGCAGGCGGAGCCACTCCGACCGCTGGTGGCGGAGGGGGCGCCGTTGGTCTCGCGCCGGGTGGGAACGTAGTGCTCTTGGGCGAGGGGGAATCTTCGTCGTCGGATGAGATTTCGCCCTTGTCATCGCGGACCTCAATCTGCAGATCGTCTCTGATATATCTCGGGCGGCGAATAGCGCGCCTATGCGTGTACTTAGTCTCGCTATCACTTATTCTTGCTTCCAGAATTAGTAACCTACCTCCTCAGAGTGCCCATAGGAGAGACCATTTTGAGTTTGGTAATGAGTAAACAGTTAGGTTGTTTTGTTGATTGGTGGTCAAGTGCTAATAATTCCGAGTCTACGGTCGAGGGAAAAGTCACAAAGGTATGAAACTAGGTCGTCGAGACGCAGATTTGATGAAGCAGCGCAGCTGAGAGGGAGATCGAATGGAAAAGAAAAGGGCACTGCCCGCGAAGAGAAGGTAAAGAAGGTGAAGGAAGGGACGAAGAGAAACTTGCGAATTCGAGAAAGAAGCTTCAAGTCATCTTGGCCTTGTATCGAAGGGAGGGGGGGAAGAGTGACGTTCCCAGAGTTGTTAGTTGCCGAACGACGTGAAGGGTAAACGTACAGAAGAACCTCCAAGAGGGCTTCGAAAAGGAAGAAACAGGGACGTCTTTACTTTTTGGTCTCGTCTTTTCCATCCACCCTTGCAACGTTGCCAGCTCCTCTGGGCCTGTTTAGAGCCCGTGCAGCCGCTGTCTTGTCCATGTCATTGCGTCAGGAAGCGCTGTTGCTGCGAACACCCACACCACCCATTCACTGTGCCATCCCTGGCTTGGGGGGCATTGGGGGAGTCTCTCTGCGCGAAGTTGGGATTGTTTGCCTTTCCTCTGCTCCTCTCCGTGTGGGTTGAGGTTACTTGGTGGAGGAGACTGGAGGAGCAGCCCGTAACCTTTCCAAACCTTGCCTGTCGCCAAGAGAGGAACAATGCGGACAAGTGTAACCGAGGAGGCAGCACGAGGCAAGAAGAGGCGAGTAATGGAACGCTGGCGCCGATGTTTCTCAGTTTCAGAGTTGCCTGCCAAGAGGTCCGAAAACGACTTCGTGCGACAAACCCTCCGCCCTTCCCCTTGCTCCCCTTACAACGTCAAGCCACTTGCGTGCCAACCAGCTACGGTACCCTACCATTTCTCGCATTCCTCAGCCAAGGGTTCAGGGTTCTAGGGGGGGCCCGGTCCCCGTCTCTCCCGCCAAGACGTTCCGCTGTCTGCCGTCTTTCCGGCCCCCGATTCGCCAGCTTCCACTCAAAGTCTCCAGAGTCCAGCGGCTTCGAAGCCGATGTGGGCGGCCCGGCCGGGACCACTTTCTCGATTCCTCTTAGTCTCCTAATGTCCTCCTCCCCGATTGAGGCTGGAAGGAGGCTCAGTTCTGTTCTCTTCACTCCCTCCGAGGCTGGTGTCCTCGACGTGACCAGGGGTGATGAATAGTCAACATTCAACATCGACATGGTTCCTTCGCCAAAGGTGAGAACCGCATCGTTTCAGAATGTCTTCTGTCCCCGCCTACGCCGTGGCCGCCAGCGACTGAAAGATTAGATCGGCCGTCCCGGGTTGAGCTTTTCTTGGTGACGGGGGATCGCACGTCAAACAGCCCCTTTCGCCCGCAAGGTCCGCCAATCAATTTTGCAAGCCTGCTCCTTCAGGTCCATTTGAGGTCTTTCAGACTGAAAGAGTGGAAGAGAACCCTCCACATTTCGATCCTCAGCGAGTCACGTTTCCAGGGTGTGCTGGTTGGACTTGAGGGTGCAGAGGCCAGATCGGGGAACCTAAGTTCCTGCCCAAGGAGGAGGATGGCAAGGTCGAACTCTTTTCGCCAAGAAGACCAACCTGCAAACGCCAAGTTCAGTTGACAATTTAACGCGCGAATGCACAAGAGACTGATGGGGAGAGCTGCCCTCCAAGCTGGGGCGAAAGCTCAAACCAGCCTTTAATCAACCGAGAATCCACAGACCATTGGCTCCCCCGTTCGATTTAGTTCGAACGAACGCACCCCCTAGAACTCTGCTCTGCTTTTGTCAAACCTTCCGATACCTGCTTGCTTTTCCTTGACACCTTGTGACTGAATTTCAGTTGTTGAAGGCTTAGAAGGATAATTCATCCTTTCTGCCGTTTGTCGATCGTGTTCGTTTGCGCGTTCTCAAACAGCGCCACCCAATTCGTGGGGTTTCCGCTGCACAGCGCAAGCGCGCATGAGCAAACCTGGGGATCTACAGTTTGAACTACGAGCGATCCCCCTCCTGCTGGCGGCCGCGTTGCACCATTGAAGGAGAGGGAACGGAGATTAATAACCATAAGGCTCTCGCCCCTGAATGAAGTTCCTGTCGGTTGCCTTTACGCGTTGCACTGGCTTCATTTACTCGATTCCGCTAGCATTGCTTGACATCGTCCGGAGTGTCCTTCCACGGGGAGATAGAGAGCTTTTCATGAACTTGAGACGGTGGTGGGCAAAAGACCCCGTCGAGCTTGAAAGCTTGGCCTTTCCCGACTGCGCAGTGCTCGAAAGGGGCGCGGCAGTGAGTGGGCTCTGTCTAATCTACAGGTGAGGCAACCTTAAATGCCTGCCGCGAGTCAATCCCGCCGGATACCTCGTAATACTGGGCCCCGCGGACTTGTAGGGGGCGGTTAGCGCTCGGGCGATGCAATTTCCAGCATTTTCCAGCATGGCCGGCCGGTCACTTCATCTCGCCATCTAAGCTTAAAAGCCTGTTGATATTGATCAACAGACTTTCGACTAGGAGTTGCTCGCCCACATACCGGATCGTCGTGAAGCCGGTAGATGCCAGAATGGTAGAGTATGTCAATATGCATCATTCAATGCCATTTATCTGCGAGATCTTTCAATACTGTCGCAATTCAGATGGACGCCGAACCATATATCGCCGAGCTGCGCAAATGCTGCTAGCTTTATTGTTGGGAAGTTCTGTCCTCATAGGTACTTCAATGTTTACGACAAAGCTGTCAATGGACCATACTATTTGGGATTTCACTAAGAAGGAGAGATTGGTCTAACTAGGGTGGCAGGTTACTTGAATACCGCAGGTTACCTACCAATGACTATTTGTATACTACGCTTATCATCTTTTCGTATGATTGCAATATACAGCGTGTGACTGGCAACATAGTGGCTTGCGAGCGAGTCTACAAAACTACCGTGTGCGGCACTCCTGCACGTGACACAACAGCTTGTATTTACACTACGTGTTCACCTTTCGTCAACTTGGACTGGTGAGCCCTAGCCGTGCAAGTGCTGAAGTAGATTGTCGGTAGGGAAACCGTGCAAGCCTCGTATTCTGTCTCAAATCAGCCGCACAGAGTACTATCAACAGAGATTATCAAGGCTGCGGTGACCATAGATGCAAGAATCTGCTTTGCGTAGACAGCTCAAATTGTCACCTTGCGTATTGCCATTGCTTACTGAAGATTTTGAGTTGAGGATTTTCCACCAAGATCGTGCTGAAGTATGTGAGTCTGGAACCTCTGCCGACTACATCTTGAGCGACAGGTAAACCATTGATATTTATTTTTCGTTTTGAGAAACGCGAGGTTGCTGATGATACCTGAAGAAGGTTCATTGAGCTCTATGGGCCCACTGATAGAAGCCCTTGTCGCTAGTCTCTTCTCTAAGTTCTGCCAGGTTTATTTCAGAATGCCACCATCTCCATGGCCCGCGTCCCTTCCCGTCAGTTGATGGCCTCTTCACCGCTACCTCCGCAAATTTGCCAAAGTGGTAACTGACCATGCAGTAGATACAATTCTTCCATCCCTAGTAGTCCTGTAGAGGTCCTGGCCACGTCTGCCTTGCATGGTAATTTCTACGTCTACGCGCTCAAAAAGCTTTGGCTACCATATAGACTTTCCATTGGTGCTAATTACCGCAATTGCAGTAGTGATGGGACTGTGGTCCGCCTTTACTTTCGGAGCCTCTTTTACTTCCAACTTTTGGACGACATTGCGGGCGAGGAGGAATGCTGATTCGAAAACGGAGGTTATTAAGCCAGGGGTTGCGGGACAAGCTCCGCTGCCGAAAGAGTTGAGTCGACCGACGGTCAGGTTCTGCCGAGAGATGAAAATTGACCACAAGAGTACAAGCACGTACAATGTCGTAGAGCAAGGTCTTGAAGACGATGCGGGAGCCAGCAGGGGCGTTGAAGAGATATCGACGTTGAGAGATAGTGTGATGTTGCAGCTTGACTACGGAGATGGTGCAGATGACTGGGGAAGCTGAACTACATTAGGGATAAAATAGACAACCTAGGCCGAAGTCGTGCCGAGATTCAGGACGGGAATGTAGACTGGTCAAATGATAGACACTGAGGGATTTGAGGCGTAGGGGCTATAGAGAGCATCATGTCATTACTTGGCTTCTACATAGGGGAATTGTCTATTATTTGGCTCCCCGACGAAGCATTGACGAATAGGATGCATAGTTTACACGAAACTTTGCGTCTACCCTATTGAATACAGCACAAGTCCCAATGAGCTTCCGTAAAATCATGGTAACACTGAGAGTATAGTAGATCGATATTCATCGTGACAAAAGCCGTGAGCCAGTCTTCCACATGTCTATGTGATCGCTGATGTCGTCTTCCAGCAGTAATTGATGCCATCGTGCTGTTGACTTCGTGCCTAAGTAGCTATTAGGGGGTACTTGAGGCTCTATGGATATAGGTAAAGTAGGTAACATCAAGTTATTACCCTCAGAACGCGGTTTCGTTGGAATTGCTCAGCATAATTACATGTATTTACGATCGACGGCATGACTGACGCTAACTATATCTATTGGTGTGTACATCTAAATGGTCTTCGATGCTGTGAGAATGTCTAGAACAACCCGTAGCTGAGTCATCAATACAGGCTCCTTTACTTTCCGTGCCATGAGTATGCCTGACTTGAGGGCATTTTTAATTTCTCTTCCATTGATATCAACCTCTGCCAATGACTGAAAGTTAGCCTCGACAAGACCGTGCTTGATGCTGTTCTCCTTTAGCAGATTCTCCCATAGGCTCTTTCGGGCCTCGCTGATCAGCCCAGGAAGTCGGATGTTAATGTGAATGCGCGACTTGATTGCCTCGTCAATAACCGCGGCGCGATTTGTTGTGATGATCAGAGTGCCTGAATAGTATTCTAGAAGTTGAAGGAAAACTTGAACACGGTTAGCTCTCAAAGTGCCGTGTTTGAAGAGTCCTCTAGTAGTTTTGGAGCAACTCACTGGAGACCAATCTATTGCGGTGGAGATCAGATGTCGTCCGCTTCTCAAGAAAAACATCGCCCTCGTCGAGTAACAGTACGGCATCCCACTTAGATGCGATGTCTAACACTAGCTTCAGCCTTGCCTCAAGCTCTTCGGCATCGAATCCCAGTTGACAAGCGCTGACTGCATATAAAGGAGCGCGCATCTTTTCGGCCATTGCAGAAACTGTCAGATGTATCGCGTAATGCTAGACAGCATAGGGGCTTTGGGGAACTTACCGACTTCAGCTGTTAGAGTCTTGCCAACACCTGTGTCGCCACTGAGGAGGAGAACCAAGCCCTGGCCTGGTCATAATTAGCCTTATGTCCTTCATTCTTCACCCAGATGAAAAGCTTGCCGTACCCTTCTGCTCAATGAAATCATCAAAGCCATCTTCAGCAAGCATCTGCTCCTCAACTAGAGATAGCAAGAGATCTTTGTACCCATTGGGGAGGATGAGGTTCGATGTGCAGGTGTCGTTCCACCCAATTTCGCGGACATCATCCACAGTGAACTTGGCTACAAAGTCTCATCAGTTCGCTCCTTTCGTATGCTTGGCAAGGGACACTCACCCCAAGCCTTCGATTTCAAGGAGTACCCCCAGCCCGAACTGTACTTCCGCAAAAAAGAAACTCGCTATTCCTGACTAATTTGAAGGATCTTTCGAATGAAGTCACATCGTCTTGGTCTGAGCTCAAGGGCCTCAGGAACACGGCCTTAGCAGGGTTGTTATCGTCAAATGTCTCGGGGTCAATAATAATACGCCCAGTTGACTACCGAATGTCTTAGCTACGAGTAAGGTGAGAAAAAGGATCAGGGAGAGCGACTAGCATACCTTTCTCGGCTGCCAAGCTTCTTTGCGCCCAATGTACCACTCTTGACCGTTACACTTCTTGTGATGGAAGCCAGAGAGCTCTGCAAAGCGCCGTCCCCGACGAACCAGAACTTCCTTGATCCCCTCTGCCTCTGGGTTGTACTTAAGGGGGCTGACGGGTAACCTTGCGATTGACGCTGTGTCCTTGAAGCAAGGTATCTCCAAGCATGTGCCTGCAAGTCCAAAAGTCTTGCCATCCGTGTCGATGAAGTCGCATCTGAGCCTGTAACTCTCTTTCGAATATGCACCCTTCCGAGCTCTTACAGCCTGTCCCAACTCGTCTGCGGAGAGACAGATCTCACCACGGGGAAAGATTGTCCAGAGAAGGGGATATGTGATCAAGCTATTAGATAGGAGGCCGTTCACCTCATCGAAGAAGTCGCCTAGTTCTGTGGACAGGACTTCGTAAAGCAACTTGAAATGCTGCAAGTCTTCCTCGTCTTCTGACTTTTTAGACATTTCTGTCATCGCCGCTCATCGGTGAAAGACATTCTCAAAAGGCCGCCGAAGAACGAAATCCCTAGAAGTGATGGCGGAATCAGTGCCGCGGAGGACGTCTCGTAAGGTGCCCTTCAATTGCTCGCTGTGTACCAAGATGGAATGCAACGACAGCGACTTTTCCCTTTCATGATCTCGATTGCGGCGAACTGTGATGACTGTTCCGGTCGCAGCCTCCTTCTTCTTCTCTGGTTCTTCTTCAACCCAGTTGATGCAGCAGTTGCATTCCTTCTTGCCTTCATAATGGTTCTGGACGGCTTTCTTGCTGAGCTCATCTTTTTCGCCAGAATTGGAGTCCTTATCAGAGTCATCATCTGTGTCTTGTTGGGCGGAGGAGTCGGACTTTGGAATCTCTTCTGGACTGGGTTCTGACTATCGTTTTTCAACTGCGGTTTTGGGCTTGTCGATGGTCTCCCCGGTGCTCAGAAGCGACTCGTCGCCTGCAGACTGTAATTCTGCCATGATATCCTGTGAAGTTACTCAAGCAAAGCTATGTGTTGTCGGTTCCTGCATCTGGAAAATGAAGTGAGCAGAAAGTTGCTGGAGGAACATGCCCCTTTTCAGCGATGCATTTGGAGTCTTTCTGATTCATTCGAGATCAGGCTGCCGTACGCGCCCATGATGGCGAACTGGCATTGATGCCGCCAGCTGCTTACTCTGCATAGATACAAGGCTAGGCCACTGCAAAACATTGCCGTGGCGAGGAAAACAGAAATATTTCCCCCTTTGCTCAAGTTTCATTGGCTTACTTTTGGTCGTTTCGTGCAGTTGGCGACAAACTTGCAGTAGTGCGTTTTCGTCACAAGCAGCCATTCGCTTCTGATCATGGGAAAGGATGCATGTCAGACGTGGCAAGGCAGACAGTTGAGCACTCAGCCACAAGCTTGCCTGTACAAACTGGTTGTTTTTATTGAGGATTGCGACTATCGGCTACAGCTACCTAACACGAGTTTCTGGGCTCCTGATACTTGGACTGACATGAGATTTTCAATACCTGTCCACATGTAAGCTCCCACGTCTGGGCTCTTGTTCACCTCATTCCTAATCTTTAGTATCTCTGGGCTAAGCCTGTAGTGATCCCACATATCAAGTAGCCAGATATTGGAACTTTGTTCAATTCATATTTGACTCATCATGTCAATTTCAGCGAATTTCGCCGCCGACAGTCTTCCTTTCTTGCAGCATGCATCGCTCAACTGCGAAAGATCAATCCGCATTGTTATTTTGAGTCCGTCAATTGAGTTGGACGATCCAATTCAATGCGATTTGAGAGAGATACAACTGGGAAGCTCATCGCAGGAGACAACACCATACGAAGCGCTCTCGTACGTCGGGGGCGGGAGACGTGGCGAGCACCCGATACAGTGCAACGGTTGCCGTGTTGACGTCACGAAGAAATGCTTAGAAGCTTTGCGTCATTTGCGGTATCCCAATCGAGAACGTGTGCTCTGGATTGACGCAATCTGTATCGACCAGTCCAGTATTCCGGAGAAAAACGTCCATGTAGCGTTGATGGGAGACGTGTACAGATTCGCCGAGCGCACAGTTGTTTGGATTGGAACAGTTGAGTCCCCTGATAAGTTACTGCTCTCCTTATTTCGACGATGCAGATGGGTGGGACTCTTGCTGAGAGGTTCGCCGGAAGCAACGCGCTCGACACCGCGACGTGAGTTATACCTCTTACGCACAACCTTGCGGAACCAGCCGCGGAGGCCGCACATGCCGTGCTTGCTCTTGGAGCTTAGGCTTATACGTCTGCAGTCCCAATCAGAAGCGTCTTGAAGGCCATCGAGCTTCTGACCATGGTCTCTTGGTTTACCAGGACATGGAAGCTGTAAGAAATGTGCTTATCTAGGCATGTCATTATCACACTAGGAAAGTCTTCCCTTTCTTGGGAATCTTTGAGTGTCTGTCTCAAGCACTGGACCACTCTCGCGGGTCGCAAATTTGGGCACCGAACAAGCGAGTTTGATTTTGTCAATCTCGGGGACAGCTTTGGGATAAAAATGAATTATCGCTCAGCCTTACTCGGAGAGAAACACGAGCACTCGGATATCCCAAAGCTGACCTCTGCATACCTCGCGATTCGGTTGATAAGGACGATCAGAAGGAGAAACGCAATGGACAAACGTGACCAGAGCTTTTCACTCCATAACCTACTCGGAAGGCTCGGTATCAGCGTGCCGAATCCGGATTACACGAAACCCGTCACCAGAGTATATGAAGACCTCGCATTGGCCCTCTGCCTTCATTCGGGTTCATTCTGGGTTTTGCATATGAGTTCTAGCAAAGACAAAGTAGACGGACCGCCGTCGTGGGTTCCAGATTTCAGGCGAGTCAGCTCTGGCGGTTTTAAGGATCAGTGGGATTTGCTTTCGAATCCTCCGCCGATCACCGCTGAAGAGGTTTTGGCAATTAGTACAAAATAGACGCAACACCGGACAATTATTAATCAGAGCTCGACGCCTGCCACCTATAACGACGATCAGCGGATCCCATTTACCGAACGCAAGGTACTTTTCAACGACGGTGAATTATGGCGAAGATATCAAAGATCTAGTTCTGCCCGCAGTAGCTAAATGGTTCCTCTTTGCTGAAAGTCTGGAATTCTTTCCATCTCGAAGACGTGGTGCTGAAGCTTTGCTTGCTCTCATCGCGAGTCTAGCAACCAAAAAGACAAGCGACGATGAATTCAGACCCAAGGTGGTCATCACACAGACTTGGTGGGCAAACTTTTACAGGGGGCTCATGGTGGGTTTCACCGCCGAAGGACAACGGTCGACAAAGAAACTCTTCAAATCCGCTTCTCGGCATGGACGATGCGCGAGCGCACATGAAGGCTGCGAGAGACCCAATGCACAGTCCATTGGCTGGTCAATGATGAACGAGAATATGACAGACATTGACACAACGTCTAGCGTCTTGCTGGCTTGTCAGGGCCTGAGCCTTTGCCTGGTTGGCCAGGGCATACTGGCAGTGTGCGACGGCCAAGTCCAACCCGGTGACGTGCCGGTGGTCGGGGCCGGGTTAATGAAAGAGCTGATTCTCCGACCAAGAGGCGAGGAGTTCGAAGTGGTCGGAACTGCTCGTATCCTGAACTTCGAGGATGACGAAATCCCAAAGCCGTTTTCTGGCTTGGACGATGACAGGCTGGAGACTTTGACTCTAGTCTAGGGAACCGCTGTCAACTAAGCCCTGTCCCTCCCTCCCCCGCCATGGGTTGGTCATTTTACGGATCGGAATTAGACCATATAAATGCCCTGTTTAAGGAAACAAAGCCTGTGCGAGTTGTGAAACGAAAACGAGAGTGAGTTGAGACGGTCTGGGTAGAGTCAAGGTTGTATCAACATTGAATCGGGAAACTCATTCGATGACATGACATGGGGGAGTCCGAGCTGGTAATGCTTGACTCGGCGATATCCCCTCACGTAACAATCGTGGTTCTTAACTGTTCTATACCCTGAGATTACACACGAAATTTAACATGGAAAAAAATGCATGAACGTAAGAATGTTTGGTAGAATATCAGGTCGCCAAGAGCTGTAGCCAAGTAGTGGCTGTTGCATTATTGAGTCGGCGGTAGGGACGCAATCTCGTCTTGAAAACCGAGCCGGTGGGAGTACGAAGATAACATATCCAGCATATCCAACTCGAGTGGTCTGAATCATCTGGACTTTCGGTACCTGAAACTAGAACTCGAACTAAGTTGCTTCTTTAGGGAACCGATATGAAATGTATGTGGCTCGCATTACCAAATCGCGCCGCTCGCCGGCCATCACAACGCCGTACCCATGGCTTCATCTTGCACAACCTCCTACAACCTTGGCCCTGTTGATAGGAGACAGCCTGCAGGAAATAACGCTCCGCTCACATCGCGGATGTCGCTGCTCCCACACCAAAAGTCAAGACCGTCTCAACTTTGCCTCATGAGAGAGCCGGCAGTCCCAAATTTCAGGCTAGGCTCATTGGTGACATCGGGACCTGCGGCAGCCAAGTCGCTTTGGGATGGGTCTGGCCCTGCCATCACTTCCCTTTCATTCGCATTATATGGACGGCGTAGTCGTGTTCAAACCTCATTCTAAGATTCCTTGCCCACCTACTATCCGTCACCTCATAATCCAAACCCACAGAGCTGGAACGATCTGAAGTTCCTCCTCGTTTGTCTCCTCCCTCCCTTCCCACCACACTCTCTTTAATCTTAAAGGAAGCAGAACTTCAACTTCTTTCGTCCAAGGAGACGGGCTTCCGGCAGGCTCACGATGTTACTACGTTCTCTGTTGTCTTTTACCTTTGCTGCGGTCACAGTTCTCGCCGCTCCTGTCTCTATACAACATGCCAAGTACAAGCGCGACCTAGCAACGATTCAAGCTGCCCTGAACACAATCAACTCTGCGCTTCAAGGTCTCGATAACTCTGTGAAAGCCACCAACACGGTCACCCTCGGAGGCGGGATCCAGCTTTTGAACGCCGTCGGCAACGTAAAGAGTTCCATTGAAGACGCCACGACCCAGGTCCAGGGATCTGAGGTCCTCAACAAAAAGGATGCGCTCAACCTCAAGGCTGCTACGGATGCTCTCACAAATAACGTCAAGGTCACCATCAATGACGTTGTAGCGAAGAAGTCTCTGGTTGACTCTCTGGGCGCAACACCGCTGGTGGCTGTTGCTCTTCAGGATCAAAAGTCTGCTAGTGTCGCCCTCGCCCAGGCTCTTGTCAGCAAGGTCCCTCCCGAACTTAATGGTGATGCGCAAAAGAGCGCGACAGCTCTCAGCACCGTTCTGGACCAAGGCATTGGCGTCTTTGGCGGCACCTCAGTTCCGCCTCTTCCCGCCGCACCTCCACCAGGTCCACCGGCCGCCCCTCCCGGTGCCACGACTGTTTGCCAAGCCGTTATGCCGGACGGCACTGCCGTTGGGCTAGCGACTGCCATCGACAATCCCCCGCCTCCCCCCCCTGCTGCTGCCCCGGAGGCTCCAGCAGAAGCTCCGGCGGCGGGACCAGGTGGTGGAGGAGGATTACTGGGTGGACTAATGGGATTGCTTGGCCTAAGGAAGCATTAAAGCAAGGATACAAACGTGTACGATCAAGCAGGAGTTTGGACATGGGCGCGGGGATGTATTGCGGCAGGGTCCGTCACGAACATGCTAAGCGGCCGTCATAAATAAAATTGGAGAATCTCTCTCGAAATTAATATACCTTGAACTTCAGAGAGACAAAATTCCGTTTAATAAGTTCTGACGAGCACTCGCTCAATGTCCTCTTTTACGGCTGTACTCTTACATCTGATCTTGACCGTTTCCATCTCCGTATTACAACACATAGGCTATGTAGCAAAGATGTACCAAGATCAACAGCAGAGACATTTGAAACGCCTTAAAGGATCAGTAACTCTAGACACTTCCGTCCATCCGGTCGAATTTCACGGAAAGGTTTGCCTTGCGAGTAACGGGTGAAGATTTATACACTAACGTGAATTACTATATACAATAATTGGCAAATATGTACTGGAACTTCATCATACTGCTGTCATTCCAGCAACCAAGCTAATCCCGCTCATACCCTTTCCGGTTTCCCACTACATTTACTGTCTAAATTCATACTCATAAGCCCTCTATTTCAAGGGGTTCCCCTCCCGCTCCTGTGCTGTAAACTTTTGTACTGATGACCGTCGAGCAAGAGGCCGTCCCTCGTAAGGGCCGAGACCTTCCCGATCAAGACTCAGGGGAATCTCTCCAGACGTTGCCTGGCTTTCTGGTCGCAAAGGTGTTCTCGCGTCTTCTGGGTCCGTGTATCTGCTGAACCGCGACTGAATGAACAACGGCTGTGCTACACCATAATGACTGACTGGTGGTGTTTGGAAAGGATTGTCTCTGAACTCGGGCTGACCGACTTCAACCTCGTTCAAATACGGTGCTGCAGCAGACCTGCGCACTGACATCATCCGAGAGATGCCACCGCCAGCAGACCTCATAGAGCCACGCATGGACCTGACAGACCCATGGATCGATCTGACACGGCTGTATGCTTCTGGTCTGGGCGGTAGTACGACAGGCTTCTCGCCGTTCATACGTCTTGTGCTGAAGGCTACAATGGTGCGGCCAGAGCCATCTCTGCCCAGGCCAGAGGAGTCGACAACTTCATACGGGTGGCCTAGTCCGGCCAGCTCATCTTCAATTTCTTCTCTGGTGAGAAGTGCAGCCTCGTAGTCTTCTTCACCAGGCTTCGGCTTCCTGGAGTAGTCTCCTGGGCCCTTCGATCCATTGGGGACGTGGAACAAAAGATCGATGCGGGCAACAGCATAGAAGACCACAACGAAAATCTCCAACATGAAACCGGTAGTGTAAAACACTTCTCTGCTGAAGAGTTTGTTTGGTGTATTGGGTGGCTCGGCCATCAGAGTCGCCGCGAGACGCACAGCGTGACCACCGATGAGCAAGGTAGCGCCAATGAAGAGGACGGCAATCTTCTGGTGAGTATCACCTTGCCCGAACCTCTCGGGTCGAGGTCCCGGAATCACTGCTGCGATAATGACGATGATGACTGGCAGGACCGCGAGAAGCATGATCCACGAGACACCAGCTTTGAGGACGTTGAGTGCCGTGTCGACGCGGTCTTGGTCCTCAATCTTGAAGAATGAGACACCAATCGATGTACTGTTTGAGACAACCACGGCCGGCACTGAGAAAAGAAAGAAGAGGATGAAGACCCGGAAAGCGGGGTGCCATCCAAAGTGAGGATGGATTGACCGAACAATTCTTTGGGCAAAGAAAATATTGACCACCATCACCACGACAGCTCTGCAATCAAATTAGTAACGTTACTTTTGGTGTGAAAATTTGATGAAGGACGTACCCTCCGAATTGGACGATGAGTGCGACGAGAATTACTACTCGGCCCTTCTCAAACGCCCAAACGATTCTCATGATACAAGTGACAGTTCTGACCATGCAGAAGTCGAACATGAGATCCGATAGCAAGAACTTGTGACCGCGTTTGGCATTGGCTCGGTAGATCCTAATGTGCGTGTACGCACCAGCCGCGAAGAGCAGCAGGAAGAGGAAAGTGACCGGTACATCGATGTTAGTCGTGGGGTCGCCGCCGATGAAGGCACCTTGGGCGGGATCAACAAGTCTCTCGGCGGGAGGCTGGGGCGCTGCTCCTTGCGGAGGAGGCTGCTGTACTGCAGCGCCAGTCGTGCTAGCCGGAAGAGCGATCGGCATCGATGTCGTTGTTCTTACTTGGCTTGTCGTTGTCGGTGCCGAGGGTGGAGAAAAGACTGGTGGAGCTGCCGTAGTGGACGGAGCTTGCAGTGTTGTTGATGTTGTTGTTGGCGGCGGCGGCGGCGGCGGAGGAGGAGGTGCCACGGACGAAGATGTTATTATGGTGGTTGGCGGCGGAATCGATATCGATGTAGATGTCGTCGTTGGCGGTGGGGGTGGAGGCGGCGGCGTAGTTGTCGACGTTGTCGATGTTGAGGTTGGCGGGGGAGGCGGCGGCGGAGGGGGTGGAGGAGGTGGAGTTGTTGCAACGGCCGCTGTTGTTGATGCTGGTGTCGTTGTTGTTGAATCAGCTTGTTGCTGTCCAGTTGGTAGCTCCGCGATGAAGGAAGTTGCATCGGCAAGCTGCCTCTCTTCCAATTGAACTGGTTGCAGAGGCCCAAGTTGAAGACCGGCTGCTGCAGCTGCCGCCGCTATCGTAGCGGCTTTAAGGAGCCACATGTTGGTGCGTGAGATGAATGAGGGCCTCGTATGCCTCTCAAGGGTTCTCTCAGATGCGATGAGAATTAGTTTTAAGCCATGCCAGCATGTGGTATCGTGGGAGTGTATGTCAGATGCCTTGATGGCCGATCTCGAAAAGGAATTAAGAAGCAAAAGAACGCTAGCACATGAAGAGAAAAAGACAGACTTGTCACCTTACACCACCTCGAGATATGAGGTTGTCAACCGCCTGCTGAAGAGGAGGAGCGGAGGCTTAAACAGAGCAAGGATTTGGTGCAACCCAGGCCCCGGTCGGAAAAGTCGGCTGGGAACATTGACGACTTGATTACCCTGAAAGGTGGTGTGCGGTCCTTTCAAGGAGGCTTACTGTTTGGTCATCCCGGAAACAGAACATAGCCGTGTCAAGATCCTCTTCGTGGCGTGCGTCACTCGGATCTGTGTGTAAGTTGATAGAGTTAGAGAAGGGGTTTCAGCGACAGGGTCTGCCCGCCACACACCCGCGCGGATACATGCACCATCCCTTTTTTCCACTACACCCGCTATGATTTTCCTATAGTCCGATCTTGAACTTTGGGCGGTGGGGTTGAAAAGACGACGAGCATACCCCCTCAATTGAGCCACTTCCCATGGGATGCGGCCTATCACGCCCCAGACGGTCAAAGGGTTTTGACGTTCTGAGGCAGCTCCGTGACAGCCTGTGAAAGATGAGATGACCGTCCGACATACCCGGTCTCCTTGCGCTATCATCTTTAATCGGAATGGGGGAAATATGGCACCCAATGAAACATCCAGAGCGTGGGAAAAAAGACTGGGTGGAAGGCCGGTAGGAAGCCGGTAAGCAGCCGGCACATGGGATTATGAGTGAGGCGTACATGGACCACAAGGCCGATTCACCGACGCTCTACATCCCACGTACCAGCCGCAGCACACCACAACTGAATCGCGGGTCGAAGTCATCGTCCGAAAAAAGTAATCTGGTAGTAGGATTGCAAGGCTCGGATTGTGTGTGCCTGTGGCCGGTCAGCCGGTCTGCTGCCAATCACAACGGATACGGATACGGGGTTCGTCTCTTGGATTCCGGGATTGCATAGGGAAAGTCTACCGACCACCCTCAACGTAAACCGTCTCGTAGGCTTCAAGCTGCATAATCACTCCATGCAGCCCTCAATCGCGGCATAGGTTCGACAAAGAGTCCCGGAAGAAGGTCGCCAGGGAGCTCTAGCCAACAGAACATGATGTGAAGGCATTGATCGTCGCGACTCTCTCACTTCGGAATATTTGTTGATGCTTATCTAGGTTCAGATGGCAAAACACGGCATATGAGTATGGAGGCTACATTACCATTTCTAAGCATTTCATGATCATATTAAGCCTTGAGTCCGCAACATTGCATGGCATTAAACCCGATGTGTCTACATGTACAAAGCGATGGTGCTAATATCGAGATCAGGCCCTGACGTCGCTATCATCATTGACGGCGTAGTTGGGCCCTGTGGCCCTACAGGAAGGCTGATGTCAACTAGTCGTCTAATATCGCCTTGGTCAGGACTGTCCCTGGTTCTAAAGCCCACATATTTGAGATCATGAGTCTCTCCTCGATCGATGTTTGTCTGAAGCGGCTCAAATGGGTAATGGAGGGTGACATATGGGCATCGAGGGCACGCAATAAGCGGCATGCTCTCCTATTGGCCGAGTGGCTTTGTCTTTGACACCCCGCATGCGTTTCTACATTAAGAACAGCATATGCTTGCTACCCCACCTATATCGGCTGTTAGTTATACAAACACATACTCTTTTAGTGCTGACGGGAGCAATTTAAGCTTGATGATGCCCTTGTCCATCAAGTGCTTGGGGCGATGCATGCCATCTCATTCAGCCGCGATCCTTCAGGACAATATAAAGGATTGGGATTCCCGAATTGCTGACGGGGCTGGGTTTTCGGTCGCCGATAGAATCTCACAACTGGAAGAGTTATCACCGGTGAGCACACGCGAGTTCTTCCAAAAATGGGAAATCCGTACATCATGTGGCACTAGACGTTGGACGAATAATGGCTCTCAATCGGGCAGCACAGTTTGGCGTTCCTCTTCGATTGCGTTCGTTTCTACAGTAGTGGCGTTCAAGTAATGCGGCGCTTGTCATTACTGGGATGCATAACATGAGCCGTATCTAAAGTAATCGATTGGATGCCACAGAAGCCTCAGTGTGTAGGTATGACGGTCGATCAGCCTTATCTTCTCGCATGCAGCTTGCAATGGCTAGACGGTGGCGAAGTACCTCGCCTCTCGATCACCAGCTCTGTCCTCTCTGACAGTATGATAGTCAAAACTGAGATGATCAAGAATGGGTAGAAGATCCGAGTTGACAGCCTTCCTGATGGAAGTCTATTCATTTCCAATTGGCACGGTCGCTGGGAGCGGACATCGCAAAATCGCAACATCCGGTCTGCACTGACAGCCGGTAGGCTTGCTAGACGTCAGCTGTTCTTTGACGAGAGTGAGCCAAACCTAGACCTAAATTCACTTCACTGGAAGTATTCTCTGCGGCACCTTCTGATTGCCAAGGTCTTTCGAATCCATTGAGTGTCGCTCTTCTCGACAAAGCATGTTGACTCCAGCCGTAGAGCTCATCGAGCCTCAAATGAAACTATGAGCGATGATGTAAGCCGATTGGCCAACACGCGAACTTGCCTTTGAACAGAGGTTAGGTTGTTTCACCAAAACGAAAGGCGTCTTGGTAGTCCAAGATTAGTTAGTCCTCTCTTGAGGAGAAAACTAGGTTGCTTAACCTCTAATCTTCAATCAATCAATCATGATCATAACGCCACCGGGACCTAGGTCTTCTGATTTATCCCGTCCCTGCCGCCTTCGGGAGGCCGAGGCATTGCGGTGCCTGACAGCAAACGTTAAAATATTCTAGTGCCAGTTTACTCAACGAACGGATTCGCCTCCAACCGCCCTCCGAAACCTGCTCACAGACATTCGCATAATCTTACTTGACATCACATCAGGGGAACTGGGCCACCGAGACCAAGGTGCAAGAAATTAACTTCCCGTGTCTCGATTTCCCAGGAATCCCAAATGCTCTAGAACTTTGGCGATTCTCGGCCCGGCCTCTTGCTTTGCGCTCACCTGTCATGGTCCCATATTCTCCGCTTCACCATGAATATTGGTTCTGTTCGGACACTCGGTCCAACTTCTCCCTAAAGAGCCGCGATCGCGAACAAAATTGACGGAGGCAAAAAGCGTCATATGGTACCTGAATTGGCATCCCTCTGCATTGAATGATAACGAAGAGGCAATTTTGCACGGCTGAGGTCACTGCTAGAAGTGCGGGCCGAAATCTACAGACTAGTCGTGAAGCTGAACTTCAGATATCGCAAGTATCGACTGGAACTAAGGTGGCCTAGGCTGAAGTCGGCCTGTGTGTGCAAGAACTCTCGGTCATACTTTAAGCAGCCAGAGTAATCAAGGAACTTTTTTTTTTTTTTTTCAGCCCCGGACTGTCGGACTCTCTCACATCTCTTGGGCATTCTCCTCGGGCTGCAGAACTTTTTACGGATTGATCCTTTTGAATATCAGCAATAGGGCTGGAAATGCATCGGATATTCCACTTGTACGAAATCTCACGTCAGATGGGGCTTACAAGGCCACATCACCTGAAGGAATACGATTGCCGAGCGATGCAGTGTTAGTGCTTCCTTGCTGGTGCTTACTCACACGGCTCACACAGCTGGTGGCTGCAAACATACGTCCCCGCATCTTGGCTTCAGGATGAGTACGAAGGTTTCTAGAAGCTGAGCAAGCTTGCTTCTATGACCAGTGCCTCAAACTGGAGCTTTCACAAAGTACCTCACCTTGGTTCATTTTCAGATTACAATCTAGACTAAAGTCAAAATCATCTCGTTAATCTCACAGCATGGTATTACGCTGGATTCTATTGTACGATGAAACATGCATCCTTCATTGTGACATCTAGAAGTATTGCTGCATCATGGCGACTGTGTGCTCGATATTCTGATATAAAATCGCCCACACTACTGTGTTTAGATTCCTCCTGGGGCCTCGGGATCATTCACTCGTTGGGAGACGGGGCCTCGAACTAGGCCAAATATTGCGCTCCGGATCCCCGAAAGCGAGCCCTTCTCCAACAAGAGCGGGGAAGATCAGTGACTACTGAAAATGTCTTGATGTCAAACACGAATGACGAGCCACCCGAGGCTACCTTTCAGTCTTTGGTTCTTTAGCTCGGCAACTAAGTCCGCTGGCGTGGTACTAACTGTAGGCCGTGGCACCAGATCACCCACAAGGGTTCCAGCGAGCTTCCGAGAACTGCTGCGGGGTAGCAGTAGATTGCCATGCTCGTCAACATTGCGGAGGAACTCAAAGCCCCGTTGTGCCGAGTTCCCATTCTATGGTGGCCCGTTGTTGAAAGATAGTGCAGTTGATAAAGCATTCACCTTGGGCACTCTAGACAAAGTCGGACTAAGCGCCCGGCTAAAG